AGCTTAAGAAATGTTTTCTTTAGAGCATACCTGAGGCATGAACAGATGAAAACTCCATATTTAAGCAATTACATGCAACTCAGAAATGCCAATTTCCATCACAATTAGCCTAAGTTATGCAACATATTTTTGTTCCTTTTTAGTATATAGGTGATGTATGTTTTTATAATTTGCTTAACTGCCTATAGTGAAATTTTAAAATCACACAGACCATATAAAGCCATAAAAGAAAGGGTACCTTTTTTATTTTTCCCAATGTACCATGTTTCTCCATGCTTATAGAGCTGTACAAGAAACACTGTTCATTTCTATATAAAGATTTCCATAAAATTTTATAGTTTCTATAAATGCATAAAGATTGTTAGTTTCATTATAACCTCTGTTTCTGTGCCAGTGGAAAGAAAAATTACCTGCAACTCTAAACAGCAATCTACATATACAGGGGTGGTAAGGGTGTTCAGACATCTATTAAAGAGCTCTAAGACACTCGCTATATTTCATCAAAATACAGATGAGCACACTGGAGAAGCAACTTCTAGCACACTCAACTCTAATCGCCACTCTTAGAACAAACAGGCTATAAAAAGTGCAACTGTGAGAACAAATTTTTAATTCTACATGTTTTAGTATAAGAAGTAATCACATTATAACTAATACAATTTAAAATGGTATGTGTAATGCCTATTATACTTGACACATTACAAGGCTATTTATGGAAATCTTCTCTCTGATAGGTTACTATACTTTATTCCAAATTATCCCATACTACATTGTATAATTACTAAAGACTCATGGTTTTAATCTGAAAAATCATATAATGTTTTGAAGCCAAAGATGGGATTTTGATGAGAGTGGTGACCATAATTTGTTAACATGTCAATTTAACTACCCTTTTCTTTCTTAATTCAATTAGTATTCATTAAAACTGTACTAATCACAATGAGTAAAGTTTTACCAATTAATTCCATAATTATGAATGAATTCAGTAAACATAATAGAATAATTATAAATCCACTTAATTAACTAAAAGGTTATTTCCAGCAGGGAAAGATATTCATGTTTTGTTTTCTTATTTATAATGCTAGATTGACATGTTGATATCTTTGAGAAACCATTTATAGAAATGAAAGATATATATAATTATTGTGATTCTATTCTTCATTGACAAAATTTTCTACTGGGCAGGCTGTGTTAAGAGCCACATTATCTAAAGTTATAATAAGAGATTGTGAAGAATCTGGTTTAAGCTACCAAAACCAAAGTCACTTGAAAACTACATCTGTAATTTAGTAATCTTAACCCTAAAATAAAAATTAAAAAAAAACAAACAATTTTAGAGTACATATTATGCTTATGAGAGTTAAATTTTCAAAATTGTATAAGTTGTTAGATTTTTTTTAATGCAGTATCCTTTTCATCCTACCATTGTAGATGTTTTAGTATTTAAACTAGCTAAGCATTAAACAAAAGCAGATGAATAAGTAATATGAACTCTGGAAAAGGCCTTGCTTCTATTTTTGTTGTTGTTTGTTTTTCTTTTTAAAAAATATAGGCATTGTAGTCCTTTCCGGAATTAACAAAAGCTATACTTTCAGGCTTAAAGACACAGGCTTACCAGATTTTAAATGAAATATTGAGTGTTACAGTGATTTAATGGTTTTAAACCATAGATGTTATTGCGGTCTGAGGGTGTCACAGACAACTTAAGGAAGAAAAAAAATGGGGCACAGAGAAATCACTTTGTCAGTAATTACAATCAAGAGTCCTAAAATGTGGCTCAGGCTGCTCATTACTTCTTCCTTCTGTATCAAGACCCTTATTTACATTTCAGATTACATTTTTTATGAAACAGTAAGATCTCTCAGAGCTGAGAGGACTGAAATAATGAGGGGAAAACATTTTAATAAAACGTGTTGGGTCTGCATTACTTCCGTGTCAGAAAGAAAGGCTACTTCTTAGTGATGGATCATTTATTCTGCTTCTAAACGAGAGGCAAAAAGATGAAACTGATGAACTTTTACTACCCATTTGTCTTTAGCAGACAATTAAGACAGAGAAGATCAAAATGGATTATCATACCACGCAGACAACTGGCCCAACAGTAATACATCTCCGGGACCACAGATTTGTAACTCTCTTTTATCCCTCCCCTTTCTTCTTACTTCTTTTTCCACTCTAAAGGCAGTGCTAGCTTTGTGGCTCAAGGAGAGCCAAAAGGCTGGTCATCATTATTCAGTCACAGATGTCAATCTAACCTCCCTTTTTTCTCAGTTTCTAAAGCAGTGAGCCACAATAATTTGTGACAGATTCTTTTACTGTAAGGTACAAAGAACACACAGAATAAAACATCTAGCAGCAGCAAGCATCTCTGATCAAGTGTGCTGGTACATGGGAAATACACAAATGTAAAAACAAGCACTGGTAGTGGAGGCGAATGAGGAAAAAAACTGGGGGAGGGGGTATATTCTGTGTGGGGGGGGTGTATGTCGTCCTCATCGTAGTAGCAGCAGTAGTAGTAGTAGTAAGTGCTTTATTATGTGGTGAATTATCTCAAATATTCCTTATGGATTACATTATAAATATTTTAACACTAAAAATGTTGCCTAGATTAAGTGCATATTCAGCATTTAAGGTTTGCATGTAATAGAAATATTTCTATGAATTCCATTATAATAGCACACAGAGGGGAAAGATAATTTCATTTAATCCAACAAATGCTAAGAAAACATAAAATCAGAACCCAAACGGTAAAAAAGGTAAATAAGAAATATGCATGTCCATTTCTTTTACCAGCAAATCAATTTTCAAATAAAGTTCTGGAAATTTGGAGGTAATTTCATCAAAAATAAAGTTGATCTTTCATTCTTGAGTTATATGGAAAAGAAGGGAAAGCATGTGTTGAGTCAGGTTGGAAGAGATGCTAAATAAGGCAGTGATATAGAATACGCTCCTAAGTCTACATCTAGCCCGTGAGTATCAGCCTATGTCACTGACCTAAACAAAGAAAATAAATACCAATTCCTATAAACACTTTAACATAGCTGAAAGCTATCATTATTTTTTAGGCTCTTATTATAATTTTAAATAATTCCAAGTTTAAGATATACAACACTTGTAAGATCATCCACTAACAAAATAAAGAAAACTAAGTTCATAACATAACAATATCTAAACTGTAAACTGAGCTCCATATACAATGACAGAATAATAGTATGTATGTATGTATGTATGTATGTATGTATGTATCTATCTATCTATCTATCTATCTATCTATCTATCTATCTATTCAGAGAAGTAAACATGGAAAAACAAACACCAAACTGTCATAGTGGTTATCTCTGAGTAGTAAAATTACAGATGGCTTTTATTTTCTTCCTTTTCATTCTTTTATTATTTACCTATATTTTCTAAATATTTTTGTGTTGACCATATCATCCTTGTGATTTTTAAAATTTATTACCAAAAAAATCATGTTGCTTAAAATTTTCAGATATAGTAAGAAACTATGTTTAAAGGAATAGATCCAGATGTTAACCATATTATTTTAAGTTTCACCTACAAAATTTTCTCTCACTGAGTAATTCAGATCATGGTACCACAAAGGTTATTTACCTAGACACAAGATTTTAAATAATAATTTTCTTAAGAACTATGACCTCGAGACTATTCAAAATGATACTTTAAGATTTTCTACTCTTTAGACATTGTTTAATGAAAGAAAATCATTAATAAAAAGGTCCTAAAATCTTTGGATTGTGTAGTTAAATCCAATGGGCTCAATCCCATTGCAATTTAAGGTATGATAAAAATGTAACTCTCCAGTTGGAAGATGAAGCAAGAGGTAGACTGAGAAGATTAATATTTTTTTAAATCTCATTTAAAAGTCTTGGGATCACACACAAAGCAAACCATACCAGTTCTCTTGGGTTCTTGTACAATAAAATCTCATTACAAAGCATCTCGTTATACTAATTATCTAGTTATACTCCTGGTCACAATATGTCCCCTGTATTCATAAAGATGTATCAGATACCTTGCTTTCTGTTGTATGGCCACACTGCAAAGGTGTTACTACTACTATACTGGATATTTCTATTCCATTGTACTTATCCTCATTCAAGGACTTTTTCTTTTTTTACAAACAAAATTAAGTAGATGTACATCCGAAACATGTTATATTGCATACAATATTCCACATGTGAAAGGTTCTATATGTTTTTTTATTCAGTATAGTAAAGGATGCTTTTATTTTCAAACTGCTTTAAAAAGCATACAGAATTGCATATTTGAACTAAAAATGTAAGGTGCCCCCAAAACCTACAAAACATCTCTAATGTTTCTTAAGATTGAAGCTGGAATCCAGAATGTATAACCTGGATCTAATTATCAAGAGTAGAGCAGCATTAGAACTTCAACAGTATTTTGTGATCAAAATAGTTCCTTCCATAGCATTCCATGCTTGCAGAACGCAGGAGATTCAAGATGGCAGGACCAACTGGCCAATCTTAACTTTCCCTACCACCATTTCAACTACCCTCACCCTAAAAAACCTTCCTGCATGTGTATCTTCTTTTTTGAGTACTACTACAACACACAGTTCCATAATCTATTTCAAATTCCAGGATATATTATAAAGTTCCCTCCTCCCCCTTTTTGTTACACTGGTTCATTGGCGTTTAAATATTATTTTAGAAAGGTTCACAGGCAATCCAAATGGATTTCCTAATGAACTGCAGACTGTAGCATAGCTTCAAGTAAAAGGTAAAATTTGTGATAGATTTTTCTTCCTTACTTTCCCCCTGAAGGTAACACCCAAAACTAGCACCAATATTTTCAATCCTACTTCAATATGTTTTACTTTTTGTGTTGGGTTCATAATTACTGTTTTTCTTCCCCTCTAAAAATTCATTTATCTCTTTCAGTAAAAAGAACAGTAATAATATGTTGAACAACTCTGAAATAAATTTTGTCATGTAAAAAATTAATTACGCATTCCGAACCTGGTCACTGTAGTCCTCCGGGAATTGCCTCTGCACCTCAGGATCTGTAAATAATTGACAGATAATATTAATTGGCTTTGGATTAGTGAGCAAGCAGAGGATCACACATTAATATTTGATCAGAAGATGATAGCAGCCCTGGCAGGGGATCCAAGGGGGGCAGCTGAGGCTGCTATGTTGATGAGCACAGGAAGGACTCGGCAAGGCACTCCCATTACCCTCCTCCAGAAATATAAAAAAAAAAAATTTAAAGACCTGATGCTACTGTTAACTTTAAACTATTACCTAATGCAAAAATCTTGCCAGCTGCAAATTTCCCTCAATATATTTCTTCCAGAGAAAATGAGCCTTAAACCTGCATGACTTTTTTTTCTCTAATCCGAAGCCTCCTTTGCATAGTTACAGACGTAGGCTTGATAAAGCGCCTTAAACACCAGTTTCAGACTGGGGCAGGGATGCGGGTGGGGGTGGGGTGGGCGGTTAGGGCAGTGAGGGTGAGAGAATTCTTTCAAAGAACAAATGCAAAACTCCTTGTTTTGAAAAATAAATTACACACTTCCCAAAATACTTAAAGCTCTTGAAAATACAGATAAAACTAGGTAAAGTTTTCAAAACAAAACCAAACAATCCACTTTTAGCTTACCAGTGTGAACAAAATTCAACTTGTCAGAAACTAAAAAAATATATATGTAAAAACATCTTTCATGACATTCAGTTTTAAACTGAATTACTAAAGGGGCCACTTGATTCTTCAATCATAATTGCAAGATAATCCAATGCCATTGTCTGTAAGTCAATATAGAAGTGTACTAATTAAAAGCTATTAGCACTCCATTTGCTATCGATTAGGAAAACATTCAATCTTTTCTAATAAGAGAAAAATTTGGTTCCTCAGAGACACATTAAGGGGAGTGATCAGAATAATATCTATTTGCGAAACTACGTATCAATGAAAAAGGCTTATGGAAAATCACAATAGTTGAGGGTCCTTTCTCACAGTGAACACAATATACACTACTCACTTTTGATATCTATGTTTTAAACCGTCAATTTACTTCTTTGTGAAACTGAATCCATGTAAAAGTAAAACCCTTCAAATCACAACACAAAATGAAGTTAAAGGTTCTGCAGAGAAGAATAAAAAAGAGAGAAAACTAAGGGTCTATTTACATATTACATTTAAATCCTAAAAATACCAGTTTTTAAGTCTTTAAAGTGAATAGATGCTACTTTTCAAAATCTAAGACTAATAACAAAGGCAAGAATATTCAAAATGTCACTTCAAAAGCAGAGATTCCCAAAATGGGTGGTACAAAAAATTTTAAAGGATTTGTACATCATTTCAGCTCTTGAGGTATCTTCTGGCTGACTTAAAAACTAGGGATCAATTTCTTTTTTTACCTTCATCTTCAAATCTAGAAGGGACAAATGGCGCTTCTGAACTATGACTAACAGAATTCTCATGTAATCCTGCACACTGTCTGCTTCTCTCTGGCCAGAAGGACTGAAATCGCACAAGGACTTAGCCCTCTTTGAGATAGGAGGCCAGAGGGCGCTAATGGCACTAGGTAGGTCTTTAAGGAAGAATTAGCCAGCAAGATAACAAAGGGATAGCCAGATGCCCAACAGACCTCTAAAACTGTGTGTGTGTGCGGGGGCGGGGGGGAGGGGGGGGTGACTAAAAAAGAAGCAATGGCCAAAATTCCTAAAACATACAAAAATAATTTGATCTGGAAAAAAAAACAAGTGGTATTTTAGGATTTAAAATTTGTTCCCAAGACCCCCCCCCCCCCAAAAAAAAGACACTTCTAAATCATTGAGGTACACAGTAAAACAGAGGTTAGGAAAGCCACAAAATCATCTAAGGCTTATTCTTTTGCTTCCAGTTGTCATGAGGTTAACACTTACTCTTCAGTCAGAAAACTTCAGACAGAAATGACTCACAGATAAATCTTTAATATCATGTCCTCTTTCTTGCAATAGTTGTGCTTCTTGGGAACCACAAAATACTGATGGAAATACAGATGGAATGGAACCAAAGACTTTATTTTTTACTATTTGGTGAGGGGATGAACATCAGAAACCATAACTTGTGGTATATTCTTCAATTTAAAAATAAGTTTCTTGATATAGGTGAGGGAAATGTTTTTAAATATCTTTAACCAACTATATTAACAAGAAACTACATTATTAAGTTGTCACTTTAAAATGTATTTTATTCATATATACAACATAGCAGAATTGAAAAAGAAAGGGAAACACGGATAAAAAGAAAAATCGACTTATTTAATACACTGAAGGTAAATATGACCATGGAATGCCAAGATGAGGGTCATTCAAACCATATTATTCTAAACACTGCCTCAGTGGCAGGCAACAGAATAGACACCACAACTGAAGTCCTTCAGCTGTCCTAAGACCAACCCTAGAATGAGATTCCCAGATTTTAACAGAATCATTTTCCAAGATAATACATGAATTTTATTTACTATAATTCAAGCATAAAACTTTTGACTTCCTTTCTTTAAGGCCCAAAGGTTTACAAAAGCAAACTTCAGGGTTCCTTACCACTCTTCTAAAACAATATTTAAAAAAAAAAAAAAAAGGCAATGCTTTTTAAAACCAAAGCCCAACCTATAAAGTTCCATTCAATTAGCTCAGAGATCCAGTCTGATAGTTAATAAAACTATGAAAGCCATTTTGTAAATATTAACACAAAAACTGAAAATAATTTGTTTGAATTGTTTTAATGTTTATTTTATACAGTAGGTTGAAATCTTTTTTCACAGTGAGTTGATCATTATGCCATAATGTCACCAAAATATCGACATTGGAAACATCTGAGTTAAAAAGGTCCAAATACAATCTGCTTTTCTCAAGCAACACAACACCCGCCTTACTAACAGTTTCAGCATGGCACATGTACAAAACCTAGCACCCCGCAGTTAAGCAAACCGCCTTTAAATTTTCTGTCTGGCAGCAATCCACTTGCGTGTCTGTATGTTTTTACAAGTACTCTATGTATTTCATTGCATCAGCTGCATTTCTTAGTTTTAAACGGTCTGGGAACATTTTATGAAATGTTCTATATCTTTATATGGAAAATAACATACACTGGAAAACTGTGCATCGGTCTAATATTATATATCTATTTCTTTATCCCTCAACCAATGCTATAATTGCTAATGTTCCAAAACACCTTCTCACATTCATACCCTCACCTCCAAACACAGTGTCACCAAACAACTAACCTTAAACACAAAAATCTGCAGATGACAAAATTACCATGGAAAAAGTAACATAATTTGCTTAGACAATTAGCAGTAAGGATAGTTATTGGCATTTGTAAAGCTTTTTCTCTAACAATTGTCCCTGACAGAAAATTAAGAGTAGTAATACACAGCACCCTCTTCCCTCCTTACACTTCTCTCACAGCAACTTTCTCCAGATTAAATAACACATTAGTGCAAAATTAAAAATCAATTTCATCTAGGAAAATACTTTCAACAACAAAAAATCGTATTTAAAATATCTTGCCAACCAGATGTATGGTATGATAAGAGCCCATACTTCTCTTAGCCACATAAGCCTAATAAGGCTTCACATTATGCCAATGTAATGGGCCACTACCTTGTCCCAGCACTATGGCGACGCAAGAGGCTGTCCCATACAGAACATGTGCACCACTTCCTCTGGAGGCCACAAGACACATTTCCATATTTAAAACAGACATTTTTTCACAGTACTGACTCTCAACAGCACAATTTCATTTGAGCACAGAACACGAGCATGCTTAGAAAGCTATGTCTTCACAGCAAAAAAAAGTCTGATCTCAAAAATGTCTTACTTTTTTGTTTTTTGGTAAAGAAAGGCTAATATTCTTCAATCTCAATAGTCCATGTTTTCTAGTTTTCTACAGTAACATACTTTTAAATCTTTAAGATATACCAGATTGCCACAGGATGTTTAATTAATAGAATAAGAGTTTGGGCAAGACTTACTAGAAAGGTGCTATAAATGATTTTACACAGGCTCCAAAACCTTAAGTTCTGCCTTAGGCTTAAAGTTCCTAGAAAACGTGGTAGACAGATCTTTTACAACAGAAATGCAAATAATTCATAAAAGTACTGTGGTTATGTATGAGGGCTCATTTGCAGATCAGTAACTAGTATGTACACACACACACACACACACACACACCAAATTATTTTCCTGTTTTTCTCAGTCACACCAATGACTCCACTTAAAGGGTCAAGGTATGACACTTTAACTGATTATTAAAAAGTACACTGTTGCCCTGGCCGATCTGACTCAGCAGTTAGAGCGTCGGCCTGCAGACCAAAGAGTTGCGGGTTTGATTCAGGTCAAGGGCATGCACCTTGGTTGTGGTTGGGTCCTGGCCCTGGTCGGGGTTGTACAGGAGGCAACCAGTCGATGTCTCTCTCTCACATCAATGTTTCTCTCTCTCATCGATGTTTCTCTCTCTCTCCTTCCCACTCTATCTGAAGATAAATGGAAAAATATCCTCAGGTGAGGATTTTTTTTTAAAGTACAGTCTTCATTTTCTGTGAAAGACATAACAACTGCATATTAACCAAATGTTACAATCATCTATAACTGGAGCTTTTTTAGAAAATTTAACAGAAACTGCAAATGGGCCGTTAACACCGGACTCTACACTGCTTTCACTTTTAACATGTTAGGTTACCAAGGCAGAAAACATTACATTTAATGCCTACTAAATTTATCCAGTCATTATCTCTAGCATATTTCAGTCAATGAGAGACAAAATACTGAATACATTTAAAGCTAACAATTATAAAACTCTGCCCTTTAAAAGCAAGACTTACAAATTAGCTATAAACAATATAATCTTGTTCAATTTCATGGGGTTTAAGATACTATCTTCCTCTCCCCAACAACCATAAATGTTAATCCAAGCTATAATCGGATTTAATTTTCCAGATGAGACAATGGGAATATGCTTCAAATCAGTAATAGTCCATTACACGGCTCTTTCCTCTAATGACATTTTCAGTTTTAT